ATTATTATCACTGTACTCGAATTATTTTATCAATATACTGTCAATCTTCCTCTTATTCAGTGCATAGTTCATAACAACTGGTGCTTTCATTACCACCATGGCTGACGACACCCGTTTTCGCACGATTGAAAACCAACTTCAACAACTTTCGGATACCATCCATAACCAGCTGCAACCCCAGATCTCCACTCTCACAGAGACGGTGGCAAAACACAACAACTCTATTACTGATACCGCTGATCGGTTACAACGCATGGAATCCTTATTACAAACATTAGCAAACAACGCCGTCACCCATGGTCCGCCACATCGCAGTGCTCCACCACTCCATACACGTAACGTCAAGTTGGAATTCCCTCGTTTTGATGGTTCCCATTGTTCCGTGCAAATCAATTCTTTGATTATTATAACACTGCAGATCCTGAACGACTCACCATCGCTGCAGTGCACTTTGATCAAACGGTCATTCCCTGGTTTCAAATGCTGCAACGTGCTCAGCCATGTTTGTCATGCCAGGAATTATCACGTTCTATCGAGCTTGAATTTGGTCCCTCAGCGTTCGATCGCCCTCGTGCTTCATTGTTCAATCTGACTCAAACAGGAACCTTGAATGATTATTATCTGGAATTCACCGCTCTCGCCAACCGCTCCACCGGCTTAAATGCGGAAGTTGTGCTCGATTGTTTCATCAGTGGATTGCATCATGAGCTGAAACGGGAGGTAATCTCACAAAACCCTAATACCTTAGTTCAAGCAGTAGCCATAACACGACTATATGAGGATAAATTTAACCCCATACCAAAACCTACCCAATTCACTCACCCTCGTACCAAATACCACACCCCTAACCCTTCAACACAACCGACTCCACCAAAGAAACCACCACTCTTACCCACTCCAACCATCAAACCTCTGACCCAACACCAACGCACCATCAAAAATATTAGCCCTGCTGAAATTCAACTGCGTCGGGAGAAAGGTCTTTGTTAATTTTGTGACGATAAGTTTAGCCCGCAACACCGTTGTCCCAACAAACACCTTCTGCTCTTACAATTAGATGACGACGCAGACAATACTATACCTGAACCAGAACCTACAGTGATTATATCATCCGAAACAGAGGCGACAACTATTGCCCACCACTTATCTTTTAATGCCATGAATGGATTTTCATCCGTGGGCACGATTCGGTTCCAGGGATCATTGAATGGTCACCCTGTGCAAGTTTTGATTGATGGAGGCAATACTGATAATTTTTTGCAACCCCGTGTCGCTAAGTTTTTGAAACTTCCTGTTGAGCCAGTTCCAAATTTCAATGTCTTAGTAGGCAATGGCAATAAGATAGTTGCTGAAGGAAAAATTTCAGACTTACAAGTGTCTATTCAAGGTCACGAAATTTTGGTTCTTGTGTTCTTATTACCTTTTGCTGGTGCGGATTTGATTCTCGGCTCCTCTTGGTTAGCCACATTGGGCCCTCATGTGACTGATTATGGTGCTTTACGCCTTAAATTCTTCTACAATGGCACGTTTGTTACACTGCAAGGCCAACAAACCACATCACCGGGACCTGCACAATTACACCACCTTGCGAGACTACACAATACTTGAGCTATTTCTGAACTTTTCACCTTATATTGCTTCCACATGGCCACTGAAGTAGAAAATCCATTGTCACTGCCACCTGATATGCCTACTGACTTAGTAGCTTTGTTGTCATCATATAGCTATCTATTTCAACCTCCTACTATCCTACCTCCTCAAAGGTTACAAGATCACTCTATTCCTCTTATGGATGAATCCAAGGTGGTCAAAGCACGCCTTTACAGGTACCCTCATAGTCAGAAGGCTCAGATTGAGCTCATGGTGCAGGACATGTTGACTCAAGGTATTATTCAGCCAAGTAATAGTCCTTTTTCCTCTCCTATCATTCTTGTCAAGAAGAAGGATGGCACGTGGCGGTTTTGCACTGATTATCGGGCTTTGAATGCACTCACCATCAAGGATAGTTTTCCTATTCCGACGGTGGATGAATTGCTTGATGAGCTATTCGGCGCGAATTTTTTTTCCAAATTAGATTTGAGATCAGGTTATCATCAAATCTTGATGAAATCAGTGGATCGACACAAAACAGCATTTCATACGCATCATGGTCATTATGAATGGCTTGTAATGCCGTTTGGACTTTCAAACGCCCCTGCTTCCTTTCAATGTTTGATGAACCAAGTATTTCAGCCTGTTCTTCGGAAGTTTGTGTTAGTATTCTTTGACGATATCCTCATTTATAGTCCGTCTTAGCTTACACATCTTGAACATCTACAGGTGGTGCTTCAGCTTCTCAATGACCACAAATTTTTTGTAAAATTGTCTAAGTGCTCTTTTGGTTTGAATGAAGTAGAGTACTTGGGTCACACGGTATCGGGACACAGAGTCACTATGGATAAACACAAGGTACATGCTGTTTTAGAGTGGCCAACACCTGCCAATGTCAAGCAGTTGAGAGGGTTTATAGGTCTCACTGGCTATTATCGCAGGTTCATTAAGTCTTACGCTACTATTGCTTCTCCTCTGACTGATTTGTTAAGGAAAGACAACTTTTCCTGGTCTCCGTCAGCTCATGCCACATTTCTCACATTGAAGCAAGCTATCACTTATGCTCCTGTGTTAGTTCTTCCAGATTTCTCTCAGCCATTTATCTTGGAGACTGATGCATCGAGTTCAGGCATCGGAGCAGTGTTAAGTCAACACGGCCACCCTATTTCGTATTTCTCTAAGAAGCTAGGGCCAAATGTGCAAAAACAATCAGCTTATCTCCGAGAATTTCGTGCAATCACTGAAGCTATGGCTAAATTTAGACATTATTTGTTAGGCCATAAATTCATCATTCGCACCGATCAGAAGAGTTTAAAGGCATTGTTGGACCAGTCCTTACAAACATCGGAGCAACAAGCTTGGTTGCACAAGTTCTTGGGGTTTGACTTCACCATTGAATATAAGCCAGGCAAAGAGAATATTGCTGCTGACTCACTTTCTCGTATGTTTGTATTGGCTTGGTCTGAACCACAACAACTATTCTTACACGAGCTCAAAACCGCCATACGGAATTGCCCTCACTTTGGGCCAATTTTTCAAGCATGTTTGAGTGATCAAACACCTCACCCGAGTTATGCTGTGAAGGATTGTTTATTGTATTGGAATGATAGGCTTGCTATTCCCCCTAAGAGTTCTTGAATTCCACAGGTTTTGCATGAATACCATATTCCTTTGTGGGAGGCCATGAGGGAATTACGAGAACTATCGCTCGCATTTGCAGTCAGTTTTATTGGCCACAAATGAAACATGACATCACAAAATATGTGAAGCTATGTGCCATATGTCAACAGGTCACTCTACTTCCTTGCCAGCCGGGTTGCTTAATCCATTACCTATTCCAACTCAGGTTTGGGAGGATATTGCCATGGATTTTATAACAGGATTGCCAAACTCAGGTGGTTTTACTGTCATTTTTGTGGTTGTAGACAGGCTTACCAAATTTGACCATTTCTTTCCCTTAAAAACTGACTATGATAGTAAGGGGGTGGCTGAAATTTTTATCAAGAATATCGTAAAACTCCACGGCATGCCAAAGTCCATAGTTTCAGACAGGGATAAGGTTTTTACAAGCAAATTTTGGCTAACATTTATTTAAATTTCAGGGAACCACACTTACCATGAGTTCAGCTTATCACCCTCAGAGTGATGGCCAAACCGAAGCTTTGAACAAATGCCTTAAGATGTACCTTCGATGTTTGACATTTCACAACCCCAAAATTTGGTCGAAGGTCCTCCACTTAGCTGAGTATTGGTACAACATTGCGTTCCAAACTAGTGCTGCCATGACACCTTTTAAAGCTTTATATGGCTGAAACCCTCCATCCCTTACTAAATCCATTGTCAATACTGAAGGTGTGGATGATGATGTCAATGCTCAGCTTCTAACAAGAGAAAATATTCTGATTCAGTTACAACAAAATTTGCATAAGGCTCAACAATTAATGAAGAATCAGGCTGTCAAGAAGAGAAAGCATGTTACATTGGAGATTGGCGACCTCACTTTGGTTAAGCTACAACCGTATCAACAAGTCATTGTCAGCGCCAGACAGAATCAGAAACTGAGCCTTAAGTATTTTGGTCCCTTCAAGGTAATTGCCAAGGTTGGTTCGGTGGCTTACAAGCTAGCCTTACCTCCCACTGCACGCATCCATCCCATTTTTCACATTTCATAGCTCAAGAAATTTCTGATGATACCGTCTCTTATTCTCCATTGCCAAGTACAACTTCAGAATTGGGTCCGATAATGGTGCCAGAACAGGTTTTGAAGAAGCTTTTGAAGAAGCGCACTATCTTTAAGGGTCCTATCACTATGCCCCAAGTACTAGTCAAATGGCAAAACTTGGATGCATCCTTGGCAACATGGAAAGATCATAATATGTCTGATACTTTTCCTAATTTCGACCTTGAGGACAAGGTTGATGTCAATGAAGAAAGTCGTGTAAGGAATGTGTGAAACAACACACCAATGATGAGCAATGATGAAGTAATGATGAGTGATAATGATGGACAGTGCAAACAAACTTTTGGCATTATTTCAGATATTTCAACAAACAAACAAATAATTTAAAATGGCACTTGTCCTTACTTGATTATAATAACATAGTTTTTGTTAAATGGAATTTTCATTCGGAGGAAAATGAAAGATAGACTTGTAAGAAACAAAAAAAACATTAAAAAAAAAGACAGAAAAACAGGATCACGCATTTAACTGTTTGAAATTATCATTTGTGTTAAAAACCATACATTTTGTTTCACAATTTTTTTTCTTTGCTTTGCTTTCAAATGTCCAAAATCTTAAACCTTGTTCCTACTATTCCCTACTTGCCAACCTATTTTTACAATTCATTCAAGCAAACAAAAATAAAAATTATTTTTTTTATCAAACATTATAACTAACCCATAAGTACCAATTACAGCCTGAAATGCAGAAGTTTGAACCACCCAAAACCACCCCCACCACCACGCGCTTTATCAACCTCTTTGCTACACGACGACGGCGTTACGCCACCGCTAGTTCCAGAAATACCCTCCGCTGCATGGGGAGTGTTTCTCGGACACATAAAGAAGTTTCTAGATCCAAGTTTCACTAGTTTCTCCTCTCTACACAAACCTTCACATCACAAAAATATAATAATCAAAACAAAGTTAATCAAAAATTAAATTAATTAAAACAAGATTAATAAGATTAATGAAACTCACTTTCTAAACTAAACTGTGAATAGTGAAGGTCGAAATCAGAGGCTACGTTTGAAAGTAAAATCGGACGGCGACCTTCCTTAACATACTGCCGAACCGCCGCGTCCACGAGATCGCCGACGGTTGATTCCGGCTTCAGGAGTATTTGTACAGGACCAAGGCTTCCGAGAACGGTAACCTTCAGGAGAAGCTTCGAAGGATGTCTAGGAAGACCTTCCGTTACCGGAACCATACTGTTCCGATAAGCTAAGAGATCGGGAACGGTTTTCGGACGGCGGATTGTATCGGTAGGCATGACGTTGTCACCGTGAAAAGACGTAGATCTTTTATCTAACTTTTGCTTCCGATGATTCTCCGTTTGGTGACTCCGGTGGCCTTTGGGACTTGGCATGAAATCCAAATCAACCTTATCTAATTATCCCCTAGAAAAAAAAAGAAAAACGGAATATGTATGTATTTACAGGGGTGAAACTGGAACTGTAAGAATCTTCTGGAATTTTTGTTTGTTGGCTACCTTAGATGGCGGTAGCGAACGTATCTGCGGCGGGGAAAACCGAGAGCTGTGAAAGAGCTTCGGCTGAGTTTGTTACGCCGACCGGGAACTAGCATAACCAGAAGGGTATAAAGGTAAATAACCCGAGTGGCGTAGAAGGCGAAACGAAGGTTAGGATTTTGATTTTGAAGATGGAGTATGAACCATTCGTGGGAATTTATATGGCTAAATACAATTGGGATATTTTTCTATTTTTTAAATAAATTTTTTAAAAAAAGGGTTAACCGGGTGTAGCCGGTTGAGGGAAAGATTCTTGCGGGTTTTCTGGGGAAGTTTAGGATTGGGAGTTCTGGTTGACACGTGTGAGGATATTATTGACTGGGTTTTGAAATAGAGTGAAGTTTATTTGTCAGATGGGGACACGTGTAGGAAAAATGTAGAAACTATGAAACTGTTTTGAGGGAATAACAATTGAAATCAGGATTTAGAAAGTTTCCTTGAAGTTTATATTGTTTAATGGGTTAGGTTAAAATTTTGTTTAATATTATTTTTGTGGTTGAAGTTATAAATAACAACAAATCACCTAAAAATTCAAACCATTATTTTGTTGTTGAAGATATAAATAACAACAAATTACCTAAAAATTCAAACCAAAAAGAGATAATTTAGGTTTAAAATTAGGAAAATTTTCTTGATATTTTTACGAGTTGATCTCAAAATAAATTAATTAAAGCTGGTCTGAATAAGTTTTAATTTTTAGTTTAAAAAAATTATTTGATAATTTTAATTTTAAAATTGTACAATATTAAAAATTTGTCATGAAAAATGTACTAAATTTATTTGTTTTTTTTATCTTTTTAATTTTCAAAATTAACTACCAAAAATTAAGATTACTAAAATTTATTTTAATTATTTTAAATTTAATTTTAATTTTTTAGTTTTTATAACTCAAATATATAATAATGTTTTTGTCAAAAAATAAATAATAATTTTGTAAAATTGGACTATCAAGTGTTTGATAGGATATTTATATCATATTTTATCTCAATTCAGTGTTTGATGACAGAACATGATATGATAAGTTAATCTTAAAACTTATCTTATCCTACTTCACTATTTCAAAATTTATCTTGAAAATGAGTTGGGTTAGAATCTGGCCGGATAGGATAATAAAATAATTTACAAATTTACCTCTATAAAATATAATTTTTTTTAAGTGTAGTTTTGTCATTTACATAAAAATAAAATAGTTAGTATAATTTTAAAAATATTGTTTTGAATTGATGTCGTCAAGAACAAAGCAAAATATGAGAAAAAGTTTTGAGTTTTTTAAACAAATACAAGAAAGCCTATTAGGTTTTACAAAAGGGCGAGAAGAAGAAAGAAGAATTGAGAATTTGTTAAATCTATTTTACTATTCACTTACTCAATAAGGGTTCAAAGATTACAAGTGAATACCAACAATTAATTTCTCTCAACAACTTGAGAGAACTAGTCTATTTATAGACTACTAAGTTAACTTAGGCTACAAGTTAACTTAACGATTAGGCTTACAAGAAAGGCCCAATTCAACATGTTAACTTAAACACAAAACTAACATGTTTCGACAACATGCTTGAACAGACTTCGACTTCAGCATGCACAACTCCTATCGAACCATTGTCATTAGTCAAAACCTTCAACACTTGGACTTCTTCATGCTCGATTATCTCTCTAACGAAGTGCAGTCTCACATCGATGTGTTTGGTTCTCTCATAATAGGCTGAACTATTCGACATGTGTATTGCACTTTGACCATCACATTTAATAGTGATAACTCGACTTTGAAGTTTCAGCTACTTAGCAAAACCCTCAAGCTACAATGCTTCTTTTACATCTTTAGTGAGGGCAATATACTCTACTTCAGTGGTTGATAAGGAAACAATCTTCTAAAGTGTTGCTTTCCAACTGATTGATGTACCAAACATAGGGAACACATATTCAGAAATATATTTTCTAGAATCCATACAACCTGAATAATCAGAGTCGACAAATCCTTCAATTTCGACTTTGCTATTATCACTAATAGGCTCCACCATAAATCAGGACTCTGTCTATAGACCCATTGATGTACCTTATAATCCACTTTACTGTTTTCCAGTGCGTCTTCCCAGGATTGGCCATATACCTGCTTAGAAGGCTCACTCTGTACGATATGTCTGGCCTCGTACAAACCATAACATACATCAAAAAACCTATTATACTAGCATATGAAATGTTATTCATATATGCTCTTTCGATTTCAGTACTAGGACTCTAAGTCGTACTCAGCTTGTACTGAGGATTAGTCGGTGTTAGAACAAACTTTGAGTTTGACATACCAAACTTGTTGAGAATCTTCTTCAGGTATGTCTATTGAGATAAGCATAATGTCAACTGTTTCTATCTCTCTAGATGTCAATCCCAAGAATTCGGGAGGCATCTTCTAAATACTTCATGTCGAACTCCTTATCGAGTTCAGCCTTCATCTTCATAACATCTTCAACATTGCTGCTTGCTATGAGGATGTCATCCACATAAAGTAACAAAATAACAAGTGAATTTCTAGGTCGAAATCTGAATTAAACACAGTGGTCGAACTGGCTCATAGTGAAACCAATGTGTGTCATGAATTTTTCGAATCTCCTATTCCATTGTTGAGGAGATTGTTTCAGGCCATGCAAAGACCTATTCAGCTTGCACACATAATCTTCCTTTCCCTTTTCTGCATACCCCTTAGGTTGCCTCATCAGGATCATTCCATCTAGATTACCATACAGGAAAGTTGTCTTCACATCCATTTATTCAAGTTTTAGGTCAAACTTCGCCACCATGGCTAACAACATTCTAATGGATCTATGCTTTATAATAGGCGAGAACACATCATTGAAGTTGACACCTTCTTTCTGAGTGAACCCCCTAGCAACCAACCTTGCCTTAAAACGCTTCAATATCACTCCTTCGATTCCTTCCTTAACCTTGAAAATCCACTTACAGCTGACTAACCTGGCTCTAGTAGATTTCTCAATCAGCTCTCAAGTGTTATTATCATGAAGAGATTCCATCTCATTATCTATGGATTTCAGCCATTCATTCTGGTTTTGACTCCTCATGACGTCGTTATAGCCTTTACGTTCTTCGTCCAGAACCTCACTTACAAATATTAAGGCATAAGATATAGCATTTGCATAACCTAGTCTCTGGGTGGCTTGATAACTCTTATTGACATGTCTCTTGCCACCAGTTAGTCATTATCAGTCTCCTCAGCTTCGACAACAGCTTCAGCTTCTTCTTCGACTTCATCTGGGTCATGCAATTTAGCATTATTATGCTCCACCTCAATAGGAATCTCTTCTTGTTCCAGCTCTTCTTCAGAGATCTTCAAACTTCGACTAATGCCGTCAGTTTTCTTGAAAGTCATCTCAGCTTCATTAAAAACTACATCTAGACTTATAATACACCTCCTATGACCTGGCTCTAGGCACCACAATCTATAAGCTTTAACTTCTTCAGGGTATCCAAGGAACATACATCTCAGAGCTCTAGGTTCGGCATATCTTGCCTAATATGAGCATAGGCTAAACAAACAAATACTTTAAATCTTTCGAGACCAGGTGGATGTCTTGACCAAACTTTTTCAGGTATCTTCATTCCCAAGGTTGTCGAGGAACACCTATTTATCAAGTATGCTGCAGTTACAACATATTTTTCCTAAAACACCTTCTTCAATCCCACACTTACCAACATGCGCCTCACCCTTTCTAGAATGGTTTGATTAAGCCTTTCAGCTAAACCATTTTGTTGGGGAGTACCTGCAATAGTTTTGTGACTTGCAATACCAGACATCGCACAATAGTTTTCGAAAGTCTCATTGTAAAATTCAAGACCATTGTCGGTCCTGAACCTCTTAACCTTCCTGCCATTTTGGTTTTTGATCAGAGTCTTCCAACTTTTGAAATTTTCAAAAGTTTCATAATTAGTCTTCTGAATGAATACCCATAACTTTCTGGAGTAATCATCAATTATGGATAGAAAATATTTTGCACCTGAATGTGAAGGTTTCCTTGCAGGTCCCTAAAGATCATCATGAATGTAATCAAGGGATCCATGTGTTCTTTGTTTACCTTTGTTAAATTTCACTCTATAAGATTTACTGATCTGACCTGATCAGAAGGGGATTACAGGCTGACCACACTCTGTTGGACTGCTACCTGTTCACCGGTGATGAGGAGGAGAAGGGGGTGTACCTGCAAGACACTCTGATGTCAAAGTAAGGAATTGGGTAGAGTGAGAGCAAAGTACAGAAATGGGGTAAGAAGTGAATTACCTGACCCTCTTGTGAAATAGGGTATTTATAGAGAGACCCCAGCACTGGGCCAACGGTCACTTGTGTTGGGCTGGATTGTCAAGCCCAACCCAGGTGACTGCTAGGGCTTACGTGGCGTAGTGAAGACCAAAACATGGTTTTCGCCCTAGTTCAACTGTCCCTTGATCTCCAGAAAGTGGGTTTGACCTGCTCTTTCGGAGGTGGGCAGTTGGTTGGTGACGTGTCCCGCGGAGGGGAGCACATGGAGAACGTGCGTATGGCACGTTGCTCTTCCCACAGAAGGGAGCTCGGGAGGTTCCCCGTAGGTGTGTTGTTCTCCCCGCGGAGGGGAGCATACGAGGGCGTGGAGGAGACACGTTGTCCTGCTCAACAACATGGGGATTCTGCCCGAGGAAGGCTGGTCTGTCTGACGAGGGGGGAGCGCAAAGGGTGTCTTAAGGCGCGCCGTCCTGCTCGGTGGGAGCATGCCCTGCCCGTCGAGGGGGGTCGTGTGCCCGACTAGCCTGCTTAACTCGTATTGGGCCATGACTGTGCATCATTGGGCTGGGCCGCG